TATATATATATATAGTTGATCTTTACAGGTTCCTTGGCTTGACACCCTCCAGTTTCCTTTTTTGTGTGCCACTGGTAAAACGACATAAAATTCTCTTCTGAATGAACAATACGCAAGTCAGAATGTTTCTCCGTCTTCTTTTTTTTCTTCTTTTTTTTTTTTTATGTATACCTTTTCTCTTTTAAATCTTTTTCTAAACTAATTTGATTCCTCGTAATGGTTACATAATGCAAATTTAGATAGCATGCGATCAATCACATCCTTATTTTCTTTCTTTTTTTTTTTTTTTTTTTTTCCTTTGCATGTTTCTTTTTATGTTTCTTTTTGGATGGGATCTTTGAATTTGCAGCAAATCGAAAATTCAAAGCGCGTAGAATCTGTTCTCGGAGTTGGTCACTGGGACAGAAAATACGAGAATGAGAGAGAACATAAAGACACGCACTGTTAGTGAACGTGTAGATACTCGTTCTAACGCGTTTGGACATGTTCAGCTGTGGAAGGAAGAAAGTAATGTAGAGAAAAAATGAGAGAGAAAGAGAGAGAGAAGTTGAGATAATCGTGAAAGCATCAGAGACGGAAGATTGGATAGTGGGGATAGGTACGGTTTTCTTTGTCACGTGGCGTACAGCCAATCGATATGCTGACAACGACGTCGAACGGACCAATCCGATGTCGGTAGTCTCGCTTGGCCTGGCTCTAACAGTGCCATCATCCACTGATAAGAAAGGGAGCATCGAACTCACGAGTTTTCTTTGTTCTCAATGGTTTAGCTTTTATCCTTCTCTCTTCTATTTCTTTTCCTCTCACCTTTCACGTTTTATATAAAACACGGTTACTATTGTTGTTGTTGATGTTCTGATGTTAATATTGTTATTGTGATGTTCTAAGTTCACTAGTTTCTTATTTTCAATTTTATTTTTCTTTCATATATTTATATGTGTATATATATATATATATATTAATATTCATTCATTTTTATTACTTTTCCTTGAGTGAATATATTTACTTTTACGCATATGTAAGTACTTATATGTGTGTGTATATATACATAAATAACACTTTCGTATATTCAACAAAACTTTCTTATTGGCGTAATATGAAACATTATGCAATACGTCGTCTGAGTCTTCGAAGTAAACGTTACTTCGATGTTCATCGTCGTCGTCGTCGTCGTCGTCGACGTTGTCATCGACGTTGTCATCGTCGTTCCCTCTAGCTAGTAACAGAAGACACAGCAAACGTTGTTGCGTTTGACATTTCGATATCCTCCGTTCCTCTCGGCGTTTCTCTTCCTAAGACATATGCGGGCACACCCAGCTGTCCGTAATAACGACTTGGTAGAATCATCATAAGTCCTTATTATAACGATATTCTTATGTACTGTTAAAGCAAGATGTTCTCTACAGCTAATGCTAATCAGTTAGCTATCGTATTCTTCTACTCCGATCTTTTTAAAAAAAAAAAAAAAAAAAAAAAAAGAGAGAGAGAAAGAAAAGAAAAAGAAAAAAGAAAAAAGAATCAATGGATTTGTCTTTTTCGTTAAAGCCCATAAAGATCGATATATTTTGACGGAGTAAATATGGTTATCTAACGAACCAAGTTCTTTGATAATTAGTCGTCGATAGGATAAGTCAAAAAGATTATAATAGGCCTTTTTTTACTGTCGTGATAATATGTTTAGGCGTTTCTCGTTGAATTAACAAGATTGTTATATTTTAATTTTCATTTGTTACATTTTTATATTACTCGAGGTACGTTGTAGAAGTTCTAAAATTCTTTTTCTCTTTTTTTTTCTTTTTTCCTTCACTAATGGTTTTCTTCGTAACAACTATGATTCTTTGGAACGACCCTTAAATATCGTTGCCTCGAGGAAGATCCACATTTAGGTCGGCCAACGCAACGACTCCTATGGATCGAAAATGCACGACACGCATACGTTAGAAGGAACCGATTTACGGTTTATCAGTATTTTTAAATCAAGTTCTCGATTAGATTCCCGTTTGAATCGGATCTTTATAATGGATACCTTTTTTTTCTTTCTTTTTTTTCTCTCTTTTTTTTCTCTTTTTTCTCTCTTTTTTTTTTCTTTTTCTTTATTTTTTCTACATTTACGATATCGAGAGAAGATATTCGTATTTTTATTTTATGCAAATTTAATTCTAATTTTTGTGGAAGATGTTGATAATGTATTTATTTATGTACAATAGACATACGTGTTTATAACATTATTTATTTGAAATCAATTAAAAGAATTAATTCATTCTAATGGAATGAGTTTCTTTCCATTCCACGAGACATTCTACCATCTTTAATAGAAATCTAAGGACGTTGATCGATAAGATTTTTATCAGCACTTGATTATTATTGTACTTGTATAGATTAACGTTCGAATCGATTTCTTTCGATCTAAACAAATATGTATGATAGATATCGATTCTATTTGTATCATATTCAAAGTCGAATAAATCGAAAAAAAAAAGAAAAAAGAAAAAATCGATCGGATTAAAACGTCAATTTATATAATCCGAATTGAAACAAAGACGATAATCTTATTTATGAATAAAATTAATTTCGATTTGGGATTCGTTACGAAAGAATGAATTTTGGTTCGTTTTATCCTGTTAATACGGATAAAGATCTTCCATACGATTCCATAAGCATACGCGATTTCGTAAATACCTCAAAAGAAATTTTCGACGAGAGAGATCGATAATATTTATCGAACGAAACGACAAGAGATAATCGTATGTTCCGAGGTCAATGTATTTGTATGCGTATGGTATGCGACAAACAAGAGTTTTTCGATTACGAAAGAAAAAGAAAAAGGAAAAAAAAAAGAAGAAAGAAGGTCGTTAATTTTCTTGAAGAAGATGGAAAACTCAAAAGAGAGAAATGATCCTTTAAGATCGGATCTTTGGTAAATGGATTGATACCTAAAAAGCTTTTTAGGATATATCTTCGAGGATATGTTAGGTCTTTAAATGTAACTCACTTAAAACTCTTCCTTTAAATCTCTATATCTTTATCAGAATTATCGATGAAGTCAAATGGAACCCAAAAAAAAAAAAATAAATAAATAAATAAATAAAAAAACAAAAAAACAAAAAAACAAAAAAGAGAAAAGAAAAGGAAAAAAAACGAAAAAAGAAAAAAAAATCGAAACACATTGGGGTGGTCCTTTTCCCCGAAGATCTCTTATCGTTAGGATGGTTAGGATTTCGAAAAGAAAGGAGAAGCTTGTTGAGTGATCGTTCCCGAAGTTACGACTCCCGCTCGAAAGTTATTCTTGTACGGTAGTTTTGGACGAGTTTTGGTGGAGGTGGAGATAGAGGTAGAGGAGAAGGAGGAGGTGATGGTGATGGTGGTAGGAGAAACGCGTGCGTCGGAAAGTACGCGAGTGCGTGCGAAACGTATAAGGGAGAGAGAAAAAGTAATGTGCCACACGCGCGGGCTTCGTGCCAAGAGATGTTGCCAAAGGAAAGACGCTTCTCGGAAGGACGGTACTTTGCTGGCGAGCTTTTCCGAAGATGCAGCCAAGTCGCCTCCAAGAGTTAATTCAGTAACACCTGTCTTCGCAGTCAAATCCGTGCCAGCTGATCGAGTTCCTCTCTCTTTCTCTCTCTCTTTTACTTTTCTTTTCTTCTTCACAATCGATCGACTTACGGAGAATAGTTCTCTTTCGCTTTCCCTGTCGTTCATTCATCGTTCCAGTTCTTTTTTTTCATTTTCTTTTCCCTTCCTAACATTCTTAAATTTATATTTTATATTTGTTCGCTGTTTAAGATTTGAAAAAAAAAAAAAAAAAAGAAAAAAAGAACAGGTAAAATATTTTTATAGGTCGATATTTAGATGATTATTCTTTCGTTAGATCAAGATAAATGGTTCGATCGCCAACGCTCTCTCGTTTAACCTACCGGTTTGCGTCACAACTCGGATTCGTTGTGTTGTTTCGTCGTGGCCGGAGAAAGTTGGCGCCAAGCAACGAGAAGTGCCTTTTGCGTTCGATTCCACGTGCGAGACGATGCAGGGTTGGCAACCTGTTACAAGGTCATACTCGTGTCGGTCACGGCCACGTTAAACTATCCGTACGATTTCTCATTCTCTCTTAGATTATCTTTGATAATATCTCTAAATGGCCAGTTAAACTAATTGAACAATTAACTGCGCCGATCTAAAGGACCCCCACGAATATGTAATTGTTTGAATGAACGGCACGTGATCGTTGACAACGTATTACTCGTCTACACACTCCGATCCGTGACTTATTTATAAATATTACGATAAAAGCAAAATAAAAGTTTTTTTTTCTATATTATCAACGTGCGCGATATTAGTTTTTATAATTTTTTTTTAGGCGTCATATCGACAATAAAAAAATTTTTTTAACTACGTAAAAATTTCGCCCGTTCGTTTGGCAGATGACGCAAGACAAACAACCGATTACGAGAGAAAAAGAAAGAGAAATAAAGAGAGTGAAAGAGAGAGAATTGACCCGGAAACCTCCTTCCGTCGTTTTCGTCGAGCGAAACGAACAAAACAAGAGGATGATGCAATTCATCATCATCCCAAAAAAAACGCGTCTCTCAGTATACTGCATCTATTTTCCGGCTCCTTTTTTTTTTTGTTCTTTCCGGTTTTTTTTTCTTCCTTTTTTTTTTGTACAACAAAGCAAACGAAAAGTGGTTTCGTCTACTTTTAATAGTCATCTCGAGTGCTTTTCGATTGATTGATCTCCCATCGAATCGACGATAACAAGTTTTTTTCGATAAATCGAAATGTTCGAGTTATATCTGGCTATCAAAACCGAGCGGTCTACCACGCGAGAACTAATTAATATTTTCAACGATATCAAAAACAAGTATTTACCGTTAAGTCATCGAACGTTTACTTGAGATTTCTATCCGTTAGATTTCCGATATTTTCGGCTTTTTTTTTAATTTTATATTAATCAATTATTTCATAGAACTATACGTTTATTTTTCTTTTCTTTTCGTCCACAGACACGCATATTGTTGATGGATGCTTTCCTTCAGAACAACAGATTGGACCATGTCTCCAGGGTAATGTCATCGCATCCCTTGTATTTAGACCACTTCCTTCGAACTCAAAATTTCATCCTTAGGGGTGATGGACCGCTTCCTTACGATTACAGACATCTCATAGCCATTATGGTGAGTAAATAATTCTTTCATTTCATTTTCGTTTTTTTTTCTTTTATTATTATTATTATTATTATTATTGTTATTGCTGTTTTCTTATTTCGATCATTTCGTATCAACGTGAATCGTAAGCAGGCGTGTGTGATCGACGAAAGAAATACGCCTTAACGTTGATACGACAAAGATAACGAACAAAATACTTACGTAATTGAGCAGTTTTTTCCTTTTTTATTTCTTCGAAAGGGGGGGTCATTTCATCTTTTTAGCAAATTGAGAAATATTTCAGTGATAACTCTCGGAGGATTTTCTTGCCCAAAAAATTGTTTACTCGAACCAATTAATACGAGAATTCGTGTGGTGTCTCTTTTTTTATTTTTGTATTAATTTTTTTTTTCCTTTTAAATTCCGTTGATATAATACTTGCTAGATGAGCTATTATCAGTCTCGTCTTTGTCAAAGGTTATCAAGAAATCCGAGTAAATGCAACGGTAGTTTCATAATATGTGCTGTTCTTCGCGTCGTAAAGATTAGGTTCGAACGATTTGTTAGGGTAAAAAATAATCTATATTTTCTTCGCCAATAGGAGGCCTACTTTTAGCGATTAATAAAAGTAACGAGAAATGAGAAAGGAGAAACGAAGAACGATCTGAAAACGAAAGTAAAAGCTTTTAGATGAGCATTTAATGGACATCTTTCTTGAAATAAATACGTTCGATCGAAATTAAATCCCTTTGTCCCTTTTAGTTTTCATCAAATTTACGTTAAAGTTAGATTACTTACGTACTAAATGACGATGGAGTTTCCGTTCTTCAAGATAACGATAAAAGCATAATTTTAGTCCTCTACCGTTGTCTCTTGTCGCGAAGTTCATTGCTTTGGCACATAGACATTGTACTTTACTCTTTTCTTTATAACGAAACGATACGAATCGAATGAAATCGTTTTAATTCATCCGATTACACGTTCAAATGAATGAATTAACATCACTATTTAAAACATACATACTGGTAACGAATTCGAATACACGTGTAATATCGAGATTCGATCGAAATTAATTTATTGACGATGATGAATGAAGAAAAAGAGAGAAAAGGAAAGTAGAAAATAAATGGGCATGAAAATAGATTAGAATGATCGACTGAAAAACACTTTATCTCGTAGAAGGAAGAAGGGGTAAAGGGGAAGTAGACGGAAAGAGACGATAAGCGATAAGATATCTGAAAAACACCTTGCTCGCCGGTAAACATTCGATTCCGTGGTTCTATCTCACTTCGGCAATCGTTGTTTCTTTCTATCTCTTTCGTTTTCATATTAAGATCTTCGATGCACGCTTCGTTGAGAAAATACATCGCTCAATTGCCTGCATTTTGATCGTTGAAGCGTGAGGTTCGCTAACTTTTGCGGATAAAAGTTATCGAATTTTTGTCTCTTCATTGCCTTTCTAACGAGTTTATCGTTTAAAGGAACTTTTCTCTTGTTGACGGAAAAGTTTTTATATATATCTATATGTATATAAATTTATACGTACACCCACACACACATACCTATATATATACCATAATTTTATGGTATTTATATGTAATCTGAATTAATTATTGTTTTTTTTTTTCGAAAAATTATCTTGTATTTTAATTCTATCAAGCATCATATCGAAATATTTTTTTTTTCTTTTCGAAAACAATTTGACATACTGACCCCTATTGTCATTACTGTTGCACGTATTCACCGATAATGACACGAAATTAATATTATCGATATTTCTCGATATCGAATTATTTTTATTACTTTAGCAGTCTATGCGACGCTATGTGCGAGGTTACAATTTACGAGATGAGTCATGGAAATATTCAGACGCTTTGTGATATCGAATATTATCGGATTAGGCCCAGTGTTCTTTAAATCTTTGAAGAGATATAAAGAAACTAGTGTACTGTATAAATATCATAAAAATTGGCCGATCTTATTACGACGAATTATATTTATTTAAAGATCTATAAAATCGCTATTATATCGTAAAACTTTTATCTTTTAAAAACAAAAAGAAAAAAAATAATACTTATCTTATTATCATTGTTACAATATAAACAAATTTTTTTTCTTTTTTACTTGGAGACGTACTTCATGTAACACGATAATCTCTCTATATCTACTCAAATCGTGAAAAAGTTAATCAATTCTAAAGAGTGTCAAACTATTTCTATAAGTGACTGTATATATATATACATCTATATCTTTATATCGCTGATGTATTTGTAGATATATTTGCAAGCAACACACACACACACATATATGTGCATATAAATATAAATGTATATATAGCTACTGTCATCTCTTATCGCTTATCGTGTTTCTAGAGTCGATTGATCCGTTGAGTTCTCATAAACACGTGTCTTGTTTGCACGTATCATTGACGTTGCTCGTATCACCTTCGCCTTTTGCACCCCTGATTTCTCCTCCTTCTCTATCTCACTACTATTATTTTTTCTATATGTGTATTATTTTCTTTCTTTTTTCCCTTTTTTTCTTTTTTTTTTGTTTTTTTTTCTTTCAACGTGCCAACGATATCACTACTATATTATGCCTGACTCAATAGAGACATTTAACGTTGCCATGTAATTTTAGGCCGCGGGTAGGCACCAGTGCAGCTATCTGATAAACCTGCAGAAGGGAGAGTTTCTTCTTCAGGGTGGTGACCCCTTGTGGCTTCAAGGTTTGAGATCGATCCCACGGAAGCTTCAAGATCTCTATGAGATCAATAAAATCTTAGCTCACAGGCCGTGGCTTCTAAATAAAACGCACATAGAGGTAAATGTTATATCATTTTCGAAAGTACTTTATAATTACTTCGTTAAATATTGATAAAGTTTAACGTTTATATATGTATATATATATTTTCTTTTTTATTTTTTTTTTCATTAATATTTTTATATATTTGATTTCTTATAACATTCCTTTATATCTGATTTTTTTAGAAACTGACCAAAGGCGCGGACAATTGGTCCTTGGCCGAAGTCGTCCATGCGATAGTCCTTTTGGCCCATTTTCATTCGTTGTCATCGTTTGTTTTCTCATGTGGAATCAACGAAGAATTGGACAACGTAACCGGCCATCATTACAAGGAAAATATACAAGACAATAGCAATAAAGTGCCACCTGCCAAAGAAAAACTTTCTAGTAATCCCAAGGAAATACCCAATGGCGACGGCAAGACTGGTACGTTAATTTGGACATCGTTTTTTTTTTTTTTTTTTTTATTTTCTTCAAGATTTAACTCGAGAGATTATAAAATTTTTCATATATTTTGTTATAGAAAACGTACCGTCGCCGCCATCGTCGCCTAGCATAGTTGGTGAACAAGAGGTCGGCGTGGAAACTTTAATGGAACGAATGAAACGGCTTTCCGAAAAATCCGAGTCTTATCAAATAACGCAAGAGGAATTATCGAAAAGATTTGAAACGGTCGAAACGCAATCAGCCGAATTGGCAGCTGCACCTCAAAGGAGTAGCAGCATTCTTGATTCCGACATCGGCCTCTTCATCGACGATCCTACCTTCATATATCAAGATTTTGCTAAGGTATATTATCACGTTTATACAACAATTATATAACGTGTCATAACTTTTTATCGATTCTATCGTACATTCATGTCACGCTCCATCAAATTTCGTTATCGAGTTATTTAACTATCGAATGTTAAAAAAAAGAAGAAAAAAAAAAAAAACAAAAAAAAAAAGAAAGAAAGAAAGTAAAGAATATTCCAAGGTTGTTAACTATGAATACATAAATCTCTCTTGGTGGTTTAATCATGTTCTTTTTGCTTGCGCAATGATGAATATTTAAAGGACGATAACGTTCACGTATCGTTTAATTTTCCCGGGGATGAAAAGAAAGAGGAAGATGAGTCAATAAAATGGCTCCTTCTCGTTGTTGGTTCTTTGCTCTTAAAAAAAAAAAAAATAATAAATGGGGGCAAAAAAGAAGAAGAAGAAGAAGAAGAAGAAGAAGAAGAAGAATTATCTCGTCTATTCTATTTTCAACGGATCCGATCATAGTCAATAATAAGATAGAGTATACAAATCTTGGCTATCCTTTAAAGCTTTTCTCTTCTATTTTTAGCGAGGTCAACTGAACGACATACCGACCTTCCGCGTACAAGACTATTCCTGGGATGACCACGGTTACTCGTTGGTGAATCGACTTTACAACGATGTGGGCAATTTCCTAGACGACAAGTTCAAGACGACTTACAATCTGACGTATTACACTATGGGTACGCATAGTAAGGTCGACACATCTCGTTTTAGACGAGCAATATGGAACTACATCCAATGTATGTTCGGAATAAGACACGATGACTACGATTACAATGAGGTTAATCAACTCCTCGAACGAAGTCTTAAGACCTTTATCAAGAGCGCTGTCTGTTATCCGGAACGCGTTACTAAGAAGGATTATGATCGTGTCATGAGGGAGTTCAAGCATAGTGAAAAGGTAAGTTTAAAATAAAAGAGAAAAAAAAAACAAAAAGGAACAAAAAAAAATAACAAAGAAAAAAAAATAAAGAAATAAAAAGGACACTTATGAAAAAAAGAAGATTATCTAGAAATTTTTACCTATTACGTGGAAACATAGTTTTTCTTGTTTGCTTTTTTTTTCTTTCCTTTGACAAATAAATTACTATAGGTAAATTTTAATTATATTACATATATTATTAATGTTTTGTTTTGTTTTGTCTTCAGGTGCACGTGAACTTGATGATATTGGAAGCACGCATGCAGGCAGAATTATTGTATGCTTTACGTGCTGTGATGAGATATATGACCTAAATGAAGACCAAATCGGGTCCCATCGTTCGCTTGGTGGTTGGATCTGTCCTGGTCAATCGGCTCGTCTATTAGAATCTTTCTTATTCTGATTTTTGTAATTCTCTTTTTTTTTTTTTTTTTTTTTGTTTGTTTGTTAAATTATTATTTTTTACGTTTCGAGTCGTGTGATGTTTATTTAGCGAGGCTTTTGTACACGGTAGAGAAAGGATATGAGCAAACGTGACACCGGTACACGTGATTTGCGCATGAAAAATGAAAAACGCGTCAAACATCCAAGTCATAACACACGGAAACGCATATTACAGGACATCAGAGAAAGAGTAATATGTAGATACAACATTGAAGAAATTATACGCGTTTTTCTTGGATCTTTCGCTTTTCCAAGAGTTTATCAGTTAATCGTTAGCTTGAGCTTGCGTTGATGATTGAGGAAAAGACAAAGCAAACGCCTCGAAAAAAAATGGAGAACAGATCGTTCGAAAAGATCCTCGATAAAATTCTTCGTCGCTGGAATCGAAAATCGAAATTATTGTAAGAATGAAAGCTCTGAGAGCAATGGAAAGATTACAAGAAGAAGAGATGATATATCATCAATTGTTTTACAGATAGAAAGACTCGCGTATTTTTTTTTTTCTTTTTTTTCTTTTTTTTTTTTATTTTGATGTGTGGCAGCCATATACGTTCGGCTGTATTTTTCTTCTTCTTTTCTTTTCTTTTCTTTTCTTTCTTTCGCTAATCCATCGGAATATAAAATTTGTAAGGATGCAGCGAAAGAAATTAATATTGAAAAGGTGTGCTTCTTTATTATTATCTCTTGGCGGAAAAAAAAACTTCTTCGATATCATAAAATTTTCTATATTTTTCAAATGTACGATATATGTTATAATAGCAAGAAAACATAAAGAGATAGAAAAAGAGAAGGGTGCGAAGGGGGCCTGAAATTGGAATTAAAATGAAAGACCACCGATCTTTTTGGGAATATCAATACATAATAAGGCATCGAATTATGTGCGCGCTTATCAACGAATTTCATGCCTTTAAGCGATCGGTAGCGTTGATACAGGTAATTCCCGTCTTTTACGAATTTATTCGTTCTGATCTCTTTCTTTTAAAGTGAGAACTAACATTTTCCGTAGACGGCAATGTAATAAATATATGTCTTTTGTTCCTGACAATTAATATTTCCCATTGGAAATCTTAATAATTTTAAGTGTAGTATACCTTTTTTTAAAAGTATTATATATCATTTAAAGGAAAAAAAGAAGAAGGAAAAAAGATAAACAAAAAATTAAAAAAAAAAAAAAAAAAAAAGAAAAAACAGAAAAAAGAAAAAATTTGTGCATAGTTGGTAATTCGTAAAGTGGGAAGTATCTGTAATATTTTAATGATTTGTTCGCGTCGTTGATGGAGAAGTGAACGTGCTGAAATTTATAACATCTCGAAATCGGCAGATGTAATTTCTCGCAACGGCAAATGTAATTTTCGCTAGGAGAAAAAAGAGAGAAACAGAGAAAGTGAGAGAGAGAAAGAGAACGAGAGAGAGAGAGAGAGAGAGAAAGAGAGAGAGAGAGAGAGAGAGAAAGAGAGAGAGAGAGAGAGAGAAAGAGAACGAGAGAGAGAGAGAGAGAGAGAGAGAGAGAGAGAGAGAGAAAGTGAGAGAGAGAGGAGAGAGAAAGAGAGAGAGAGAGAAGAGGAAAGAAAGGAGGAAGTAGTATATAAAACAGAAGAAAAGAAAGTTAGGAGAGAACGGAGAGGCTGTTTTAAAAAATCAAATTCACATAAGTCGTTTTATGATACACGAAGATTAAGGAATAAAACGTGGCACAAACTATACACGCGAAATATACGTTCTGTGATGGCATATAAATATTATATAACAGATACACGACATACGTACATCATACACGTATACATACATACATACACGTATACATACATACATACACGTATACATACATGCATACATACATGCATACATAAACGTATACATACACGCATATATATGTGCAACATACGCGCATATATACGTGCATACATACGTGCATACATACGTGCATACATACGCGCATACATACGCGTATATATCGTGCATACATACGCGCATACATACACTCACAACATGCATCATACACGCATCATACATGTATACATACTTATGAATACACTATTATTATCCTTGCATGACGAACAAATATGCATACATTTACACGAAAGTGCGGACACACAACATGACAAGCAAACACAAGCAAACAAACACAAAGAGAAAAGACGTATATACGCACGCTCGTTATTTACGTTTGACGTAAGAGGAGAAAAGAAAGAAAGAGCATGAGAGAGAGAGAGAGAGAGAGAGAGAGAGAGAGAGAGAGAGAGAGAGAAAGAGAGAGAGAGAGTGAGACGGGGAGAGAAAGAGAGAGAGAGAGAGAGAGAAAGAGAGAGAATGCGTGAATGTGTGAGAGAAGAGATATTTGTCGTATTATACGTGCGAGAGGAATATATTGAAGATTATGTAGCGTTTGTAATTAGAGGTGTCTCTTTATTATATAACAATGTATGTACGTGCTCTAAATCACGAGAGCATGATTCTCGTATAATGATTCGGAGCAACTCAAGGTTTCTAGGATGATCGGTGGATCGCTGGATCGCAGACTTTTTCATATTATAATATCATTAAGAAAGTTTAAGAAATTTCGAAAGACTTAAAAAGATTAAACGATTGCTTTAAGTAGTATTTTTTGTACGAGTGCAAAGAAATTTTTGTTCGAAAATTTTTTAAATTATCCTTTGTAAATGAAACAAAAAGAAAGAGGGAGGAAGGGAGGGCGAGAGAGAGAGAGAAAGAGAGAAAGAGAAAGAGAGAGAGAGGGAGGTATAGATTTTTTGAAAAAATCTGTTATCCAGCTTTCTTTTCTTGACATCGATGAAACGAGGCGAAACTAAAAGAGAAAGAACGGTGAAAGCTTTTGACCAACATTGACACCGTTTAATCGCTTTAAACGGCGTCTACATATCACTTGGAGAGTTTACGAAAGAACAACTCCTCGATCGTGGAGCTCCTCGGTCTTGGCGCCAATGCATGGCCGTAAAACAACGGTACAATCGTTTCATGCTTATATCTCACTCGGCACGTACCCAAATCGAACGAACACTCTTTTTTGTCTTTGCGTCGAAACGACGAATCCATAAATTACTATATAATTTTTTTTTTCCAAATTTATCGATTACTTTCACAATTCTTCGTAATTATTCGTAATGTATAAAGACGAATCCGATATCTCGTCGCATCGAAATTACATTTTATTTCAGAATTATTTAAATACGCAGTTGAAAATTCGTGAATAATATATCTATAAACGCGTTTGATTCTTTTTCTTTCATTCTTTCTTTTTTCTCTTTTTCTTTCTTTCTTTTTTTTTCTTTTTTTTTTTTTTTTAACTATACTCGTCGTTTCAACGTAAATACGCACATATATCTATGTAATATCTTAAATAACTTGCCTCCTCGATTTTATCATTTCCAAAGACCTCCTTTGAGTTGATTTTACTTTAGTATAACCGTGATAAGCGACTCGATATATATACATATATATATATATATATATATATATATATATATATATGTATGTATGTATGTATGTATGTATGTATGTATGTATGTATGTATGTATATCGAGTAATCTTTCGCGATTCAGAATTAGATCTCGAAAGATTGAGGCGATCGTCGATCGACGTACGCCAGTATTTTCATTTTATAATTATTACTTTTGCGTTCGAGTCGTCTAGTCTTTCACGTTAACATTGAAAATTTCTTTTTCTTCCTCTTATTGTCCGTTAGTATGTTACTTTTCTTTTCTTTTTCCTTTTTTCTTTTTTTCTTCTCTTTATCAAGAGAAGTCGATTTGAAGACAATGCTCGATAAATAGAAAGAAAGAAAGTAAGATAGGAAGAGAGAAAAAAATGATTGATAAAAGAAAAAGAATTTTCATTTCGAGATTTTCGTATATTTTTGTGATAATCAAATTTTTTTTATTGAATCGACTGAATGCCATTAATATTTATTAACATTTTCAATTGTAATCGTCGATATAATATTTGTGACAAACGTAGAGGCTCGTGATTGTTCAAAGCGATTAATCAATTAATCGATCCAACGACGTGACCCTTGTCTTTCTTAAGCGATTTTAAATACGTTTCCCTCGTTTTTTAAATAATCTTTACACAAACTTTTTCCTCTCTCTTCTTACTTTCTATTTCATTTCTGTTTTCTTCTTCTTCTTCTTCCTTTTTTTTTTTTGTTCTTTTTCCGTTTCTATCACTTCTTCGACATCTCTTTAATTTGATTTCTCGGTTTCTTTTTCTTTTTCATAGATCAAACATCGACATTCTCAAATTATTATTATTTGTAATTGTACCGAAATACGATTGTTTTCATAGTCCGAAAGAGAAAAGCGATCGACGAGCAATGGGTAGAAGACTTTTCGTATCGTTTCGGAGTTTTCGTTAGAGTGAATGAAAATTATTATTTCGCTTAGAGACAAAAACTCGTAGGGATACGAGAATGCGAACGAAAAATGTTCGCCTCGTGTGAATTGATCTCATGGGGAAACGGTATGCGTGTGCGTGTGCATGAGAGTGAAAGATTTAAAGAAAGATAAGAAAAATGATAAAAGAGAGCGCGC